TAGTTGAAGAGACAAGTGCCTAGAAACTGGAACAACTAATAGAACTGTCTTGGAAAAGCTGACAAACACTAGACTACCTATTTTGCTCTACCCTCTTAACCAGTCCTTGTTTGGAATAAAAGTTTGAAAATTGATGTGGAATACCAACAGAAAATGAAGACATTCCACTGCAATGTAAGCTCCATGGGAGCAAAAATATTTTTTTCTATTTTATTTATTAGTGTATTATAAGCACCTAAAAGATAGTGCCAGGTATGTATGTGCTTAATAAATATTTGTTAGCTTTATGAAAAACCAAAAGAATAAATGAATGACAGAAGGCATTTTAGTCTTCAAGATAGCAGCTGTATTTCCCAGTATGTAGCCAGGTTTGGGGGAAAAAAAGTAAATCTTAAATTTGCATCTATAATTTTCTACAGACCACCATTACAATAAAACCTGCAAAAGAATGGTAGTGAACATTTGTCATAGTCATGAATGTCCACCATCTCTTAAACAGCCTTTCTGTATTAAAGGACATTACCATGATATGACCCTTGCTCCCTAAAATGTAAGTCAGAGCCCCAAATTCCCAAGACTCTTTTCAGCCAGGACACAGACCTGTGACGCAGGCACCTGCAGACTGGTTCAGAAGTGAGCAACGTGAGGAAACAGGCTATGATTAGAGCTGCCCTTTTGTCATTTGGTTGTTGTTGGTCTTTTCCTTATACATTTGTAGAGCTCTTAACGTAATATCAGACATAGCCCTCTTTCTGTGAGATTAGTTGCAAATATTTACACTTGTAAATTTGTCTTATTTTCTACACACAAATTTTAAAAAATGTTTTATGTAATCCAGTGTCTTCATAGTGAATGGGATCTGAGTTGTATGTCATATTTAGGAAACCCTATTTCCCTTTGAGATTACAAAAAAGAAAATTCACTCATAATTTTTTCTGGAACTTTTGTAGCTTGATTTTTTGTGTTTAAACTTTCAACTTATCTGAACTTTATTTTGATGTAAAGAGTAAAGTAGGAGTTCAACTCGTTTTTCGCAGTTGGCTATATATTGTCCCAATCATTTATTGCATGAAATGTTCTGAATTAGATTTCTATTCTAAATTACTTAATCCTTTCATTCGATGTACTACATTAAAGAAAAGCAGGAGACGAAAGACAATGAGGGTAACAGGAGAACTCTAAGTTTGGATGTTATGATTTTATGACATTCTTTTTTTTTGCATCCTCACTCGAGGACATTTTTCCATTTTTGTTCAGATAGAGTGGGAGGGAGAGAGAGAATCATCGATGTGAAAGGGACACATCGAGTGGTTGCTAACCGCACGACCCAACCAGGGCCGGGGACAAACCGCAACCAAGGTACGTGCCCTTAGAGGGAACCGAACCTGGGTCTCTCTGGACCCCAGGCCGACGCTCTAACCGCTGAGCCAAACTGGCCAGAGCGATTTTATGACATTCTTGTTACTCTCAGTGACAGCCTCATTCTTCATCACCTGGAAAGACAACTTGGCATCTGCAGCCAATAACACTCCCAACAATGAGTTTTAGGAGAGCCATTCCTTTCCCATTCTGATTATACACCAGCTCCCTAATACTTGGGTTTTTAGCTTGTAGTTTTGCTTTGTTGTGGTAAGGAGGCATTTATTACATGTGTTTTAATATAGTAAGGATTCTGTTCTTTGTTTTTTTATCTTATATATTTGGGAAGGAATTAATCCTTAATCTATGGTTGTAGCAGACACATCTCTCTAAATATGTAAGCTGACTTCCATCATGCCATTAAGAGCACATGTGTGCTAGGACCTGCCTATGTTAAAAACAACAACAACAACAAAAAACAACAACACTGAATACTGGAACCCTCCCAAAAGGAAGAGATTGCCCTTAAATATATGAATAGACAGAGGCAGTCCTGAGATGTTCATGGGAGGAAGAAAATTCTTTCTGGCTTCCTCAACTCCTCTTGTGACCTCACTTCTCTTATGTCTGAGAATAAGAAGATAAATATCACTTAGAATGGTGTTTCTCAAAGTGTCATCCCTGGACCAGTAGCATCAATATGACCTGGCAACTAATTAGAAATGCAAGTCCTTGGGCTCTATCCTAGACCTACTCTGTGAGTCCAGCTTAATCTCAGAAACTCTGAGAGTGGGACTAGCAATCTATCTTGTTATTATTCCTCACCCGAGGATATGTTTCCATTGATTTTTAGATAGAATTGAGAGGAGGGAGGGAGAGAGAGAAAAACATGATGTGAGAGAGATATATAGATTGGTTGCCTCCTGCATGACCCCTGACCAGGTCTGGGGATCAAACCTGCAACCCAGGTATGTCCCCTTGACCAGAAATTGAACCAGAGACACTTTGGTCCTTGGGCCAACACTCTAACCGCTGGGCCAAATCAGCCAGAGCTAGCAATCTATTTTTGAACAGGTCCTCCCTCTGATTCTGATGCACAGTAACATTTTACTATTATTATTATTCTTTTTTAATCCTCCCGAGGACATTTTTTTGTTTTTTGTTCAGATAGAGAAGGAGGGAGACAGAGGAGGAGAGAGAGACAGAAACATTGATGTGAAAGGGACACATCGAGTGGTTGCCATCCGCATGACCCAACCAGGGCCTGGAACAAACTGCAACCAAGGCACATGCCCTTAGCGGGAACTGAACCCGGGTCTCTATGGACTGCAGGCCGATGCTCTAACTGCTGAGCCAAACTGGCCAGGGCACATTTTTTGAAAAAAATATTTTTTCTTTATTGATTGTAGAGAGGAAGGGATAGAGAGATAGAAACATCAATGAGAGAGAACACTGATTGGCCGCCTCCTACATGCCCCCCACTAGGGGTTTGGCCTACAACCTGGGAATGTGCCCTGACCAGGAATCGAATTGGCGACCTATTGGTACATGGGTCGGCGCTCAACCAGTGAGCCACCCTGGCCAGGCCACAGTAACATGTGAGAGAAAGTGTCTTAGAATGGTGGCCCTGTGATGTCCTTAATGCCTCAGGATAATGAAGATGAACGTGAAGTGGGTTGTCAGAGTATATTTACCTTGAATAGATGATGACCATTGGAGAAATGTACTTAACAAGATGGAGCACCCTGGCAGGATAGCTCAGTGGGTTAGAGTGCCATCCCAATGCACCAAGGTTGTGGGTTCAATCCCCTGCAGGGCACATACAAGAATCAACCAGTGAATGCATAAATAAGTGAAACAACAAATCAATATGTGTCTCTCTCTCCCTTCCTCCCTCTCCCTAAAATCAACAAATAAACTTTAGAAACAACAACAACAAGATGGAGCAATGCTGAAAGGAATAAAGAGAGTATAAATGAACTGTTTTTAAATAGTTGCTAAAAGCAAAAGTTATTACTGGTGAAAAGTCTAGAAAAAGAACCCTAAGTTAACACCAAGTTCAGCTCTCACCATGTGTCTGATCTTACCAATCTTTTTGCACAAGTTATTGGTATCTTAAGCAAAAATTTTTTTTCTTTATTGCTTTTAGAGAGAGAAGAAGGAAGAGGGAGAGAGAGATAAAAACATCCATGAGAGAGAACGTCGATTGGCCACCTCCTACATGCCCCCCACAACCTGGGCATGTGCCCTAACCGGGAATTGAACCAGCAACCTCTTGGTGCATGGGTCGATGCTCAACCACTGAGCTACACTGGCCAGGTCTTGAGCAAATTTATCAGAAGAATACATAATCAATACCCTCAAGTGCTTAGGAGCATATGTCCAGTTTATCTGAAGTAGGAGCTTTTTAGGGGTAAAAGATGTATTTTCCTTTTCTTACTAATAACTGTATCTTCTCTCTAACCCCAATAATCCCTCAGTAATTGTTTATTAATTGTGAGAAATAGTATTTTCAGTGGAAGTTGCCTGTCTTGAATTCATTCCCTGGGTGATTTGATAAAAATGAACTGATTGACTTGGATTGGATGATTTAGATTGCACTTAATTATCCACACTTTCATTTGTGAGAAGTTAGGGAACAATTGTTCTCATATACTGCAGAATATTTAGTTTGGGACCATCTGTTGAATTTCTAATTTCACCAAACCAGCATTTTTATGTAATTACACATTAAGTTTTGGTGATTGGCACATTCTTCTCCAAATCCAAAATAACTTACTATAATTTTTCTTGTTTAATTTGAATTATAGGCCTACGGGATTCTTTAAAAAATTGTTTTTAATCTTTAAACATATTACCTTAGGCTTTCAAACTATATTCAGTAGCATGATAAAAAGATGCCATTGAATATTTTAAACATCTTTTACTTCCCCTGGAATTAGGAATGAAACCTGAGGGGAAAACTAGACGGGACTGGCTCACTGTTTCCCAGTCTCTGGCTCCCTCCTCCACTGTTCCTAATGGTCTGAGGGTGTTCCATCTTAATTTTACTCAAACTTGTGTAAAGTACGCTTCACGGGATTAAAACAGACAAAGATATATTCTTTGCTTTCTAAATCTCTCAGCTTACATTTAGTCTTTAGATATGACCTGAGCTAGGATTAAAGTGAAAATGAAAGCATTAATAAACATCTAGAATATACTTCCATTTCCTTCAGTCGCGTTTTCATTTGAACAAGCAATTTAGTGTTTTATTTCTCTTTAGCCCAGTACTGCAGTTTTCTTAGAAATGCAGTTTCATTACATTCATTTGTTGAATCAAAAGTGCTCTGATTTGTTTTTCTGATGAGCTCTGCAAGAACAGAAGCACTAATCTATAAGAAAAAAACTCACTAACTTGGCTCTCCCATAGTGCTCCTGTATTGACTTGTGTGACTGTCAGTCACACTTGAATGGAGCTCACAATGCTAATGAGATCAAAATCATAGACTTACCCCCAAAGGATCTGTTAACTTCTCTCAGAAAAGCAGGGGCCTCTTCACCACAGATCTGTCCTCTACTCCTGACCGTCTCAATAAGTACTGGTCCCAGAAGGACAAAGCACAAGATCGCCACTGGCCATCAATAACATCAAATGCATGTTGTATTTTGCTCCACCTAAGAAATGAACTGATTCAGACATAGGTACACATAGAGAACTTAAAGAAAATAACAATTTGAAACATTAGGATGATTGGGTAATGGATAAGAAAGTGGGGGTGGACATATACTTAAGTGGGAACAAATTCTCTGCATTTATGTTACAAACATAAAATTGAGATCATACTCTAACACAATTTTAAAATATAATTACTCTATAGAAATGTTCAAACACCAACAAAACTAGAAAGAATAGTATAGTGAATGTCCTCAAACCTGCCACCCAGCTTCAATAATTATTCGGGCATCCCCACCTCTAAGATTAATTTGAAGTGAGCATCAAATCATTTCATTCACAAATAGTTCAGCACTTATACTAAAAGATAGGATCTGTCTAAAAAATACAATGATAACATCATCATCACATCTACAGTGTTTATAAAATGCTATAATATCATCAAATACTCAGAAAGTAACTGAATATAGATGGATACTGTAAATAATGCTTCAATGAACATGAGAATGCAGGTATCTCTTCCAGATAGTAATTTCAAATTAAATTTTCCCCAGTTGTTTCAAAAATGTTTTTTTATTACAGTTAATATGTTTAAATTGGGATCCTAATATGACCCACACAGTGAATTATTTCATATATGTTAAGCCTATTCATCTATAGCTTCCCCTACTTCTCTTTCAATTGGTTTGTTAAAGCAAAGTTGTGTTCTTTGTCCTGTAGGATTCTCCATAGTTTGGATTTACTGATTGTAACTGTCCTGGTGTCCTTTAATGTGTTCCTTTATCACCTGTGTTTTCTGTGAATTATTATTTAGATACATAGCTTTGGTCAAATTCTAGTTTGATTTTTTAAAAATCCTCATCTGCTTAGAGAGAGAGAGAGGGAGAGAAAGAAACATTGATATGAGAGAGAAACATCTATCAGTTGCCTTTTTTTTAAATCCTCACTCGAGGATATTTTTCTATTTATCTTCAGATAGAGTGGGAGGGAGGGAGAGAGAGAGAAACATCCATGTGAGAGAGACACATCAACTGGTTGCCTCCCGTGACCCCTACAAGGGCCAGGGACGAACCGTAACTGAGGTACATGGCCTTGACTGGAATCAAACCCGAAACTCATTGGTCTGCAGGCCGAAGCTCTAACTGCTGAGCAAAACAAGCCAGGGCTTTATTAGTTACCTTTTGAACATGCCCCAACCGGGGATCAAATCCACAACCCAGGTATGTGCCCTGACCTGGAATCGAACCAGCAACTTTTTGGTGCACAGGGTGATGCTCAACCAACTGAGCCACTCCAACTGGGCTAGTTTGATTTTTAGCTAGAATATTTCATATGTGATGTTACATACAGGAGGCAAGTCTGCTTGTCTCTTTTTGTGAAGTTAGCTGTAGATCATTTCCTGGTTGCATTATTTCATTAGAGATGAGAATGTGATGATATTCTATTATTTCTACATCTATTATTAACTGAAAAACTCTGTATAGAGAAACGTCCTCTCATCAACTACAAGGGTACCCTGAGATACTATTTGTATATGAGAAGTGAGATAAATAGTTGATTCATTCTTTTTTTTTTTTTAATATATTTTCTTTATTGATTTTTAGAGAGAGGGGAAGGGAGAGAAATATCAACTAGCTGCCTCCTGCATGCCCCCAACTAGGGATCAGGCCCACAACCTGGACATGTGCTCTGACCAGGTTGAACCAGCGACCTCTTGGTGCATGGGTTGACGCTCAACCAGTGAGCCACACCAGACGGGAGATTCATTCTCTTTATTTACCAGTTTTCAATAAAATAAGTCGGTTTCTTTGGATCTTCTAAGGGTATGAATAGAATTTTTAGTTTTAGAGTATCAGTCTGAGCTAATAGACTGAAAAATATAATATGCTTTGTTCCATTACATTTATTCTCATTCCGCCTCAGATCGTCTCCTCTTTGACAAATGGAAGCATCTTCAAGTTAGTTTCTGAGTCCCTTTTGACTTGACCCAGAAGTCTTTGATACTTACTTTCTGGTATGACAAGATGTTCCGGGATCATCTTGTAATTTCCTGCTTCAATCCTAGAATCAGCCATCTCTCCATGGAGCCCTGGAAAAAAAATGATTTGTAATGCTTGCATCTCATGCGCACACCATTATTTATTTAACCAGTTCACTATTGGGAAGGAAGAGGCTTCAGGTAATTTCTAACTATTCCCTATTATAAACTAAGTACTCAGCTATTTTATAGAAATAGCACGTATAAGTGACTTGAAGGTGTCCTTATAAATGTCTGGGTGTTTGTCTGTTTCTTGTACTTAATATTTAAAGAAAGGCAAGTCGGCCCAGCCAGTGTGGCTCAGTGGTTGAGCGTTGACCCATGTACCAAGAGCTTGCCTGGTTCGATTCCCGGTCAGGGCACATGCCCAGGTTGTGGGCCCGATCCCTAATGAGGGCATGCAGGAGGCAGCCAATCAATGTTTTCTCTAATCAATGTTTCTGTCTCTCTCTTCTTCTCCCTTCCTCTCTCTCTAAAACCAATAAAGAAGAAAAAAAGAAAAAGAAAAAAGAAAGGCTAGTCATTTGGCTCATTTGTGTCCTGGCCCTAAACCAGGGTACATCATTCAGCTCTTTCAGACATCTGCCTCTAGGGTGGAGCTTGCAAACAATGAAAAGATGGCAGCAAACATAACATAACATGGTGGGGGGAGACTATGTATGTTTAGTCCCAACACTCATCAGCCTCTAAGGATATTTTTTTGTCTTAGAACTGCAATCCCTCTTATAGTCCCTGAACATTTCATCATGAGCCAAGAGATGAGATAAGGCTTGGTAGGAGTATGATAAATGGAAGATTTTTGTTGATAAACTGCATTGGAGGTGGCTCACTGATAACTGTGCAAAAAGCTGTAAAAGGAAAATTGTCACTCCCAACCACCTGAAATTCCCTATTTAGCTGATTGGAAATTTTTGGACTGGCTAAAATGTTGAATTAAGCTTTCTTCCAAATAAATGCAAGTGGTATACATTTTGGACTACTAAAACTTTTCTTTAATTTTTGAATGTCATGCATCTCATTTCAATTGATATATCCTACAATCTGCCTCTTTCCCCAGAATGTTTGAAAGCTGTTTTTCTAGAACTCCTGGGCATAGGCAGAAACCCTTTCCTTTAGGAAGAAAATGAAATTATCATAGCAGTCTCCAGAGAGAAGCCAACAGTGATTGTCACCACCTACTTCCTTTACAGACAGTACTTAATTTATGCAGTCGGGTTCTGTGAGATACAGGTGTTATTGGTCAAAACTTAGCAAAGGAATTTAGTTGCAAGTCAGAGGTATATTAAAAATTAAGTTTTATCCGACAGAACTGTTAATCTTCCGGGTTAAGAGAACATTCACTTTTCATATTATAGGGGACCCTCAAGCTTTAAATGCTTATGCAGAATACAGAGTTAGCTTGAAACTGTAGAGTTTGTATGTTTTAATATCATGATACTTATAGTTTACCATGCCAAAATAGAAAACTGGTATAAATGCTTCCCTATAAGCAGTTATGTTAATTTCCCTTTCTTTTTGCTCTTTTCTGTTCATTGTTGGGAGAGAGTATTGCGGATGAGTATGATTGCCAGATACCCCGTTAAATTTGAATTTCAGATACACAAGGAATAATTTTTAGTGTAAGTATGTCCCAAATATTTCATGGAACATATTTGTTCTAAAAATGATTTGTTCAAATTTAATTGGGTGTCCTGTATTAAATCTGGCAACCCTACGGATGAACAATGCCTAAGAACAACGGATCTTTGAAAATGAAAAAGAACTGCATGATGTACAATATAGAGCAACACTTCTAAAACTTTAACGTACATACAAGTTACCTCACCTACTTTTTAGAAAGCAGATTCTGATTCTGTAGATCTGGAATTGGACCTGAGATTCTGTATTTCTAACAAGCTTCCGTTTGATGTTGATGCTGTTACTCCAAGAACCACAATTTGTGCAAGGCTGTTATGAACATCTTTTTTGTTGGTTGTCGTTATTGTTTGTTTGGTGGCCTAGTCTCTGAGCTTAGAGAATTCACTGATGTGTGAGTCTTAGAAGAAAGTATAACCTGATTCTCTCTATCTAGAAACTGACAGAAGTTGTAAAACACCTTACCATCCTCCCTTGGTCCACCTTCCTTGCAGCCTGGATTCAGGTGCATGACCTTCTCTGGAGAATTAGCTGTATGGCCTTGAGTAGAGACCTAGTAACACGAAGAAGCAAGAATAGCAGTCAGTTCTTTCTTGCAACAGTGCAGTTGCGGCCAAATTAAGTTCCCAGAGCAGGAGAGGAGCAGAGCCCGGCATACTGGCAGTGTCAGTAATAGCAGTCTTCTCACTGGGGCTGTTTTTTGCAGCATAAGTTTGGGCATTGTTCTTGGCTAAACAGCTCTGAGCTTGGTGCTCTCAACCCTCATAATAATTCTGTGAGCTTCCCACTTTCTTTGCTACTAAGTCAATCAAAATTCATTTTTGTTGTTTAAAACTAAGAACCCTGAAGAAACCCGAGGATCTGCCAGAAGCTATTTGGCTTGAACAGCCTGTCAACTGGCAGTATGTGTATGGGATGCCACCTCAGTCATCACTCAGAATGATCTCCACATCACAAGGTGAGGACGATTCTGAGAGGCTCAACCTCTAATTGATGGGAGGGTACCTATTTCCTGGCATATGTCTCTGCACCTCCTCTGGCAATGAGGTTTCTGATGATAGCTAGTCTTGGCTTAATAGGACTAGATTTATATGCTAACCCTGTCATTAACTAGTTATGTGACTAGTTAAATCACTGAGCCTCTCTGAGCTCCATTTCCTTGGCTGTTAAAGGGGATGAAGACTACATGTTTATTATTACATTGTTCACATTAGATCATAATTATTTTTAATAATATCACTAGTGTGTAATTTACATGTCATAAAATTCACCCATTTCAAGTGTACAATTCAATGATTTCTAGTAAATTTATCGAGTTGTACAGCCATTATCATAGTCCAGTTTTTAAAACATTTTTATCACCCCAATAAAATCCTTTATAACTATTTACAGTTAATTCCTATTCCCAACCCTGGCCCAGGCAACCATCAATTTATTTTCTGTCTCTATAGATCTGTCTTTTCTGGATATTTCATATATGTAAATAGAATCACACTCATAATTATTTGTTATGTTAGTGTTTTAGTGCTATATAGTAAGTTTGAAAAAGGCTTATATCTAATTGAAATGTTTATCTACAATGTATGGAACAGTGCTTTGTAGGTGGTAAGTACTCAAGATAATAAAATAAAAAGCACTGATACATATCTTATGAAGTTGTTGCGAGGGTTAAATGAGTCCATTAGAGTCTTGCTTCTCAAAGTGTGGTCCATACACCAGCACCATCAGCATCACCCAGGAGCTGGCTAGAAATGTAGTCTTAGGCCCCATCTCAGACTTAGAACCTGCATTTTCATAAGATCTTCAAATGATTTATATTCTCATTTAAGTTTGAGAAACACTGCTCTAGACTGTAAATTCCATGAAGGCAGAGATTATGTGTGGCATATAATAGGTACTCAATACTATTTGTTCCATGAATAAATGAACAGTGATATATATGAAAGCATTTTGTAAACTGTTTAAGTTCTATATACACAGGATTGCCAAAGAACAGAAGTATGGATTTTTGGCTTAATTAAATCTGTTACAGAAACAGTTTGGACTAACATTTTATAATGCCAATTCATATACTGAAGCAAGTAGAGTTAGAGATAAATATATTTTACATTTGAATGATAGTCCCATAAGGAAATTAAGATTTTAGATTAAAATAATATTAGTCCCTTAACTGAAACAGACTTTATAGTGAGTTTATTAGCATGGCAGTTAATTATAGACCTTCTACATCTAAGAAAATTGCAGTTTCATTTTCTATGAGATAATACCTTGATCAACAGCTAAGAAGCTAGCGTCAGACCTTAAGAGACATGATTGTTAGATGTTGTATAGTTAGTATCAACCACTAACAAGAAAAACACATCTAGCTTCCCACTTATAGTCTGGATCAAAAAATGCTTTAATTTATTCATTTAATCATTCTTCAGATCATCAAACATTTATCAAATTTGTCACTATTTGACGAGTGCTGTGCCAGAGATTTCTGATGGATTGCCAGGTACAATATTCTTGACTAGTTCCATATCAATACAATAATAATAGCTTTTTAACTATATATGCTAATAAGACCTTTTATGATTTATTATTTCATGAATTTTAAACTCTTAAAATGCTATAAAAATTAAACCACATTATTTATATATTGAACACAGTTATTGGAAAGGTTAAATTATATTTTCCTGGTAAATCCAGGCTATATGGATAACACAGAATATGAATTGTTTTTATTTTGGGTTGCTCTAAGGAATATAACAGGGATGTCCTAGTTATTTTCCATTTGATCCTCTAAATCTATTTGGCATCCTATTTGTCTTGCTGCATTTGTACCATCCAAGCCCTCCAGCTTCTGGTTGGATTTGGACAATGAGAGGTACCAACACAAGTTCAGAGATGGGCTGCATTTTGGCAGTGGCTGCATCCCCTTCCAAAATACAACTTTTACTGGGCTCCTTCCCCTGCTCCTTCAGGCTTGAGGCTTCCCACTGTTACCAGTTCTTACCTGCTTTACCCCATAGCTTGTTGGTTCCCTTAACCCATCCCATACCTCTGTAAATTGTCCCTCTATTAAGCTTTTTTTACCTTCTTGGAGTGTGCCATCTTTAGTGTTACAAGATGAGGCAATCAATCAGCTAGTATCTAAGGACTGCCTGCTGGCTGACACTGTCAAGACATGTAATGCATAATTCTGCTCCTGAGACACAGTCCAGCAGAAGAGATTCAAACCAACACATGTGAAGCAATTAGGAAACACTATACATTGGTATCTAATGAGAAACATTTGGGTTTTTGCTACTCAGCAACCATTCACTTTTCTGATAACAATATCCTGATTTTCCTCTTCTATTATTCTCTGCCAATGTCTTTTAGGTAGAGTGGACTATACTCTCAACATGAGTAAATCATGTGAATCATCTCTGACCTACTGGATTCCTCTGGTCGCATGTCCTAATTAGAGCCAATGAAATATAAGGTGACTATTGCTGGCATTTGTGGGAAAGAGGCAAGCACTCTTCCACGGAGATTGCTAAGAGTAAGGATTATGTGAACTGGAGCTGCCAGGAGCCACCATATGGAGCCTGAGAATGAAGCCAACACAGAAGACAGAGCCAAGAGATGAAGCAGAATAGAATTCTAATGACATTGCTTAAGCCCTTGGATCAACCTATGCCTTGAGCTAAATATATCACTAGTTCTTCAGTTATGTGAGCCAACAACCAATGTAGTATCTCTCTCTCTTTTTTTTTTTTTTTTTTGCATAAATCAATTTGAGTAGTGTTGTTTATTTTGTCACCTGCAACTAAAATAGCTCTAACAATTCATAAATTGGTAACAGGAGTGGGGATTAGTAAGAGAAAGATATTAAAATGTTGAACCAATTGATTCACATGAAACCCTACTTATAGTGAACTGGGGATTCAAGAGCAAAGTAGTAGATTAAACTGGCACCTGTTGTACACTAGGATTCAAAATATGTGCTTATCAAGTATGAAATGTAAAAGGGCCTGCTTTTAAAAGGTCAGATTCTAGAGTACTTCAGCTATTATATGTTGTCTTTTAGCAAGATCCTATAAGAAAGACTCAAGTTTAGGATTTAGCTAAGGCAGAGAAGGGAAAATACTGATTTTTTCTGAATGACCATTTTTTGCTTATAGGCTAAAATCAAATATCATAGAAACTTTAATGATCTGGGGCCATTCAGGTTAGAAAAACCTCCCAAACTGTTAAAACCAATGAAAGCAAGAAATGGGTAAGTTTGGCAGCTGGGAGAGGATTGAATACATCCAGACTTCTCTCAAGTAATTCCTGCCTGCTTAGAAAGGTAATAATTATCTTATTCTGTTCCCTCTAGCACCACTACACCCTCCCTGCCCACACTCCCCCTTGCAAAACCAATGGCTATTGTTTCAAATTGTTCTCAGACAGAAACCAAAATGGAGGCCAGTAAACTAGGAGAATATCAAGGCCTATTATTAAAAGACAAAAATACCCAGATAGGCATCTAGATGCAAAGACTGCAGCTGAAGATGACCTCCGGTTTTGGAGTTTTTCCCCCACGAATTTGGCCAGATGTAAACAGACTGGAAGCTTACTAAGAACCAAAGAAAATTGTATTGTGAGAAAAACCCTATGTTTGGAGAACAGAGGCTAGGTCTTAGTTTTAGCACTAACTCCTATAACAGGTAATGCACAAGTTTGAGTCGCTTAACTCAATAGATGTTTATTTTTCACTTTTGTGAAGTCCAATATCAGTACTCTTGGCCTTCTACAAGGTCATTCAGTTACCCAGACTCCTTCTATCTCGTGACTCTCTTATATTATTCTCCAGTGTCTTAGGGGCCTTTCAGTGCAGCCAGAGGAGGAAAAAGAGACTGCAGAAGTCATAACTTTGTTCTTAACCACATTGACAAGAAGTGATTCACATCATGCCCATTCATATTCCAAAGGAAATAATTAGTCATATGACTTTACCAAGAACAACGAGGAAGCTGGGAAATGTAGTCCCTAGCTACAAAGCTACTTCCTAGCAACAACTCTTCCATAACAGAAGAGAATCACAACTATTTGGTAGTAAAAGCTAGTTATCTCTGCCATAACAAGTGATTTTACAACCCCCACTGTATCAGGAAGCAGAATGCTGAGGAGGTGTAGTCCCTAGAAAGATTATCCTCCCCATGGTCCATTACAGATATGGCATGAAGAAACAATGAATGAGAAATTCTCCAAGAGTAGAACATATGGCAGCCAGATGGGTTGATCAAAGAACTTTCTCTTCTCTCATGGTAGGAAGGCTTTGCTATTCCTGTCCAGCTAGATATGATATATTCTATGAATTGGAGACCACTGTGTATTTGCCATTAGTCATTTCTCCAAATATGAGTTTTCACTGCAGTTGTTCTTTTCTTTTTCTGTTATTATATTTTAAGTATTTTGTTTTATTTATTTATTTATTTATTCATTTATTTATTTATACTCATCCGAGATATTTTTTCCAATTATCTTCAGATAGAGTGGAAGGGAGGGA